TCTCGAACCCACATCACTATCAACCCTACGGTGAGATCTTCACCATCAAATTGGACGGCTCCGATCTTCAGAGGCTGACGCACAACTCCTACGAGGACGGAACTCCCGCGTGGAGCCCACGTTACATAAATCCTGTAAACGTGGAGAGCCTACATGACGTGGCACCCTGCGGCTTTGAAGATTGCCACTGGCTCAATCAAAAGCCAAATAATGGTATTGGGCCCGGCTTAACCGGGCCTCAATGCAGCCGCTAATGCCCACTGGGCCCGAGCCCAAAACCCATTCTCTAAACAATACCTCAAACAGATGGCAGCTGCAGATAGTCTCTTTTCAGTGGAAGATTACTAGTGTTAATATAACTGAAAATTTGGTACATAAATAATGGAGTACTTTTTTATTCTTCCATAGTTTGTACTAATTATCTACTGTTAAAAGACATTTCTTGGCTGCCCCATCATTGTAATGTAATGCTCTTAGTATCATCAAATTAAGAGGAAGGATGATAAGCTTATGATGAACTTCTTTTCTTTGTACAAATCTCAGCCATATTGGTATTCCATAATTCGCTACAACGTTACCAAAAAACCGCCGAGATAACGACTTTATGCAGAAAAGCCAGTGGCATTGGCCTACATCAAAGCTATGAAGAGAACCCTTCCAATTCAAAGTGGGGAAGCAGATCCACAAAAATGGGTGGAGGGAGGGGCATTTTATGTCTCTAGTCTTCTCTAGTCTCTATTCTGCTGTTAAGTCAGGCAGCTACTATCCAACAGTACATTGGTGTACAAATCTAGTGTGTTTGATTCTGGAAGAACTCCGGGGGTATCGACGGGGAGCAGTACTTCTTTGCCACGTGCTTGTACTGAGGTAGAAACCGTCAAGATATCAGCATCAAACGTAAAAGATTTGAAAGAAGGAAGTTAGTAATCATATTTCATATTCTGTTGGGCAAAGGCAGAACAAGATTATGCTCACCTTATGTTGGCTGTATTTCTCTCTGATGGCTGGTAAGCTAGAATTTTGGCTGTTGCAGCAGAGGCGATGCAAGTCCTTAATGCAGTCGACGAGATCGGATGGCTGGTAATGTGTATAATGCTGCAATGTGGAGTTCTGTACCAAAGATGACAAGAGTATACTGTATAAGCTTAGTTGGTTTGTTGGCAGGCTACTCAAATTACATGTTTTGTTCTCTCATTGTCCATAAAGAAATAGTAGAGGAGATAGATGATGATCATACCCATGGTCTCTCATTCGGGAGAAGCATGAACTTTGCCAAAAAAATTGCGGAGGCGGCTATAAGCGATGGGGTGTAGCAGAGCATACTGTATTCTAAAAGAGACAATTCGGCGAGGAAGTTGGCCAAGCATTCCAACTGCATTGATGAAACCTCATCGGTGGCGCTTTGAGCAGCACGAACGAATCGTCTACAACGACAAAATAACATATCAGAATTACTTAGACTTCCTTGGTGATATAGGAAAGTGAAAGATGTTACAAGTTCAATGATTACCTTAAGAAACACTTTGCTGTTGGAGCTGTCATTTCGAACTTCAAGTAATTCAAAACAGAAGATTCCATTTGCAATACCTGAAGTAATGAAGAAAAACAAAGATGTTAAAAGAGACGTATGGACAGACGAGATTTATTACAAAATATACAACAGAAGCCAAACAAACCTCTTCTTTAAAATATGTGTTATCAGTTATGTAACAAAATTCTTCCACTTGAGGTGCACAGATCTCTTCATATTTTCTGGGAAAATGAATACCATCTTACTGGTTAACACCAGACAATAAAATTGAAAATAAAATAAGAGGGCAACTATCTCAATATTGAAAGCTTACGAAGCAATCATCATGCAAGCAACTCCAAGCAACTGTAACCTTTGTCGATCCATCGAGTTTCCAGATAGGTATCGATCTATGTAGTTCACGGTCAAATATAGAGTATCTGGCACAAGCCTATACTCCTCTGCTACCTGGAAGTTGGAACTTAGAGTTTTAGTCAAACCATAAAGAATGAAGAAATGACTTAGAAATCTACTGACGTCACAAGGAAAAGCTACCTCCACAAGCCAATCAATCAGTATGGCACGCATATTTGAACTTATGTCCTTCTGAACCTTTTCCATGAAGTCTGTGGACGGCCTTTTCTTTGCCTGAACCCCCAACAAAGAGCACAGTTTGAGACTCAAGAACTCAAAATTAAATTCTCAGATTGAATTTCAAGTTCTAAAACATAAAACAATGGGAAAGTTCTAACATATGCACCAAAGAAGAAGATAATCACCTCAGATGCTCTTAAGTGCCTGTAAATATCACAAGCGATTGTAGCACATTGTTGGGGATCCATGAAATCAGTATCGAGATCGACAATACCGCCATCTGTTTCCATTTCTGCAAGTACATCTCTATTGCATATACTACCTGCAAAGAAAACCAAGGAGCTGCTTTAAAAGTCATACAAAATAATAAAATAATACCACGGTAGAAGCTGCAACGGTCAATCATGACCAATGTTTTTAAAGAATACTTCTCCATGAGCTCACCTTTCACTGGTGGTGCGTGATCTGAAATGCATAGACTGATTTTAGTTTTCCTCTCAACGGAATCAACAGCTGGGACATCATTGTTGTCCATGTATTCGACCTCGGGACTCTTGAAAGAATCACACGTAGACATAGTTTCATCTAAAGAAACTGAAACTCCATCTGATTTAGTCGGAGAGACATCCATACTACTAGAGACGGTGGTGGCAGCATTCCTAGAGAATGCTGTAACATTGCTAGGGGCAACTACACTCGGTGTATTATTCGTTTTGACATGGAGCAGGGCAGGCACATTATTTGTTTTGACATCAAGCAATGCCAAGGCGGGCGTATTATTTGCTGGCAAGTTTGTGCTACGAGTTCTAGCAGGGGAACCCTTTCTGGCCTTGACAATTTTTGATGCACAAGGTACCTACAAATTTGAAATTTCATTTGTTAAAGCTTCCAAATCATGGTAGAATATAGGTAAAATAAAAACAGTAATGGGTACAGATATTATCCAATCTAAAGGGGCTCCATTGACAAAACTTAGACAAACTAAGAACCACACACTGTCATACACTAAGAAAAAGGGTTGACCACACGGATATCCGAATGTAAATCCACTGCATTGTTTGAAAAATAATTTTAAAAATCGTCTTCAAAACTGTTTTACAATTCACAAACTTGTTGCTTAGAAAGGAAACAAACACAGCTATGAAAAAATGTTTTCGCTGCTAAAAAATAGAATAATATTTTTCTAAGCTACCCGGAAAGCTCTAAAAAGTAACATGATGATAATAAAATTGTTTCAGGAGTCTTTTTGTTCTTCTTGGTGGTATCCCTTTAAGCATGAGCATCCACCCATAATGTTAGCAGTATCTACTAGCTATAAAGTTTCTTGGTTAACAAGAAAAATCAAGGATATAAGAGAAGAAACCTCAGAGGAAGTTTTAGGTTAGGTCCCTGTCGAAATTTTGGCTAATATCCTGACAGTGGGCTGCAAAAAACTGGTTCTCTTGCCTTTCCAAACAAACAATTATAAAAATTCAAGTGACATTTTCTTCCATTTTGGCTCACCCCCTTGCAATTCAATGCATCGGCATAAACATCCCAATAATGGGCAATTCATTTCAGAAACACCCATAACCCAAATTCCTAAACCCTCCTAAAAGGTCAAAAGAAAAAACCATACTGAAAGAAAACACAAACTTCCAAAATTTCCACCCCGCAAGAAATGAACCAAACCCAAGCAATGAAATGAAACCAAAGAACAAAAATCATCAAGACTCGAGTGCAAGTAAGTACCATAATAGCAGGCGGAACAGAGCTTTTCGCCGCACTGTGAGAACCATTCTTAAGATTCGTGAGGTTACCGAGTGGCGCTCGCTTCTTCGCCAAGTGTGGCGGAACTGCCATAACCTTCCCGACATTGTCCGACGACGACGCCGACGCTTGTCGCTTGGCCAACGAAGAGGACGTCGACGAAGAGAACGACGGACGGCGATTATGGGCGGACATGTCGGATCGAACCCAGTTGAGAATTTCAGATTCAAATTCAAAGAGGGCTAACAATATTCTGTCCTAATTTTCCGTGTTCAAACTTCAGCCTTCTTGGCGTGAGAATCACCAAGAAAGCGAAAAACAAAAATTACGCTCGAAAAGAAAAAGGGGGAAAACACAAGGATTAAAGAGAAAGAGAGGGAAAAGCTAGTTAAAGTTCTTGGAATTTGAAGGAGGATTTGATTGATGGGTTTGAAATGAGAGAGAAACAGAGAGGGAAGAAGAACAAGAACAAAGAGAATTGAGAGAGCGTTATCGAAAGTGAGTGAGAGGGCAAGTGTGATTTATAATAAAGGGGATTTTAATTACAGTGTTGTTCGAAGGCGGGGAATTTGGATGATTTTGAATTGGGGCAGATCCTGACCGTCGGTCCGGAACTCGGTATTCGTTAGGAGCGGACATCAGTCTGGGGCCCATTTTCGCGCACTGGGTTTCTCCAGCGGGTTTCTTTTGTAGCGTCACAGACGAATAAAATAACGCCATCTGTAGCGCCCCTCTTGCTTTAGTTTCTGGGGTTGTCGGGCTGTGTGGGGGCCTTTTAGCAACCTTCGAAAGTCACAGGGCTGTCAGATTAGAATTCAAGTTTATTTGAATTTGAATTCGAAACGGTCACTGAATCTGTCTTTTTTTTAGCAACCTTCTAAACGCACCCCCATTCTCTCTCTCTCTCTCTCTCTCTCTCTCTCTCTCTCTCTCTCTCACGCTGCATAGCGCATAGAGAGAGAAAGAGTTGTATTTTATTTATTTACAAGGCAAGATTAGGTTAGTCACGCATTTATAGAAATTAAAAAATAAAAAGATCTTATTACACCGAAAATGACTCTCTTAACTTCGGGGCAATAAAAGAGAAGATAAGTCAATGATCAAATTACGATTTTGTTACTTTATTTGTAAGCAAAATATACGACTTCTCTTTTCTTTTTTTTTTCGAAAGTTATAAATACATGTAAGATGTTTAAATATTGGTATGTTATAAAATCAAAATGGTAATTTCTTTCTTGACAAACAAAAAAACCTTTCTTACAGAGCCCCATTTTTTTAGTTCAAGTAAAATAAACATCAGATTGCGGAGATTTTCAACCTCAACTCTTTAAATTTATTATTATTTTATTATTATTATTTTTTTTTTTTGACAAGCAACTTTGTAAACATTTAAGTTTCACATAACTATTAAAATTTTTAACATAGCTGTCAGGATAAAGGGTAAGAATGAATAAAAAAAAAGTTTGCTCGTTTCTTCAATCTGTTTTATATATATTTATACACATTGCGATTGTGTAAACAAAATAGTCTACTAAAAAAAACCTTAATATAATATAGTCTTGCCTTTTCTTTTTTTTTTTGTCCTTTTTCTTATTTATCAGTCTCTAGCTAATTTAATATCAAATATGGTGACCACCTACATTTTGAAACTATTTTGTCAAACCCCGTCCAAAAATAAAAATGTTCTCTCAAAATTCTTTTTTTGTTTTTTGTCCATTTTGTTATTTTTCCCATTTATCCTTAGGCAATTAATTATATACTACAAGTTTTTATAAACTTCCAAAAATGATAATGTCTACTTTTCTTTGTTAACGTTGGGAAGTTTTCTATTTTCCCTATAAAATTATTTGGATTTTAGTTATTTTACCTTGTGTTATGATTTTTTATTAAAACATCTCTTTTAGTCTAGGTACGTTTTGAAAATACACAAATTAAAATAAGTTAGGACAGAAATTACCAAAAATTAAAATAATATTTACACCAAGTATAGAGAACCAATAAAAAAATAATAATTAAAATTTAATATTTTTGGGATGGGAATACGAAAACCCCACCAGATGGAGACACCCATTGTCTTATATGTTTCAATATTTTCTTCCACGTTGGACTTTTTGTTGGCTATTGGATTTCGAACTGAGACTCAGAGGCAGTGCCACCAATACTAAATTCAAAATTAACTCACTTTGAATTTTGAATTCAAATGGGTAACGCTAGGAAATCTGTTTTGAGCTTGTATTTGTTTATTTTCCTTTTAAGTAGGACAGTAGTAGCAGCGCACACACAATATCGCCTAATCTACGGATAATGTCGATTGGTCCTTGGGGGCAGCAACAGTAACAAAAGTCACTCTTCAACTTGTTTTCAAAATTTACCAAATAGCCGTCGAGTAGTACAACAGCTATTTATTTTAAACACCCTACAGTCACTCCTTGGCCTTGGCCGTGGCCTTTGGGGTAGTCGGAGAATTTAGGACGATGCGTATTTTGTGTTCTTAGAATTTGATCACCAATTGTTGGGTTGCTCTTCAAGTCGATTGGGTCTAATTACAGATGGCAACAGGACGAGACAGGGTTGAGGGGGCCATCCTCATCCCCATCCCGTTGGAGATTTTTTTCTCATCCCCACCCCTGTCTTCGAAATTTTGGGGTGGGGACGAAGCGGGGATTCCCTTATTTATTTTTTTATTTTTTTATTTTATTTTATTTTTTAAAAAATTATAAATATTTTAATTATTTGGAAAATATAAATTTTTTTATGAAGTAATGTAAAAGGTAATTAAATACAACTACCAAATTAAAAAGTGTTTATTAAAAAAATAATTTTTCTTTTTTTGTGTGGTTGGAGAATTTAGGACCATATGTATTTTGTGTCCTTAGAATTTGATCACCAATTGTTGGGTTGCTCTTCAAGTCGATTGGTCTAACATAGGACATAGGAAGAATGAAGAAGTATTGTTACAATGGTAATTTAACATGGTATCAAAATGGTTCGAATGCCTATAGTATCACTTCCTCCTAATTTATTGTTGACTATCACTGGTGGAGCCTACAAGTGAGGGAATGTTAAGATATATATAAATTTAAATTTTTCGTAACTCATCAACTTAAGCTTTTGTATTGATTGATGATTTAATATAGTATCAAACAAGAAGCCTTGTGTTCGAACTGTTGTAATATCATTTACTCCTTCATTTAATATTGATAATTACTTGTTAGGCCTTAGGCTAATTTTCAAGTCCAAAAGTGAGAGAGATTGTTAAAGTATGTCTAAAATTTAAAATTACCTTAATTTTTAGGTTAATTGATAATTTAACATGGTACTCGGCAGGAGGTCCTATGTTCAAATCTTTGTAATGTTATTTTCTCCCTCATTTAATGTTTTGATTACAACAAGTCTACTTATTAACTGATATTTGTTTTTTTGTTTAAGTTGTTTTTAAGCTGTCAATCTTAGTATAATTCAATTTCTTAAGGCACCTACCCATCTACGATCAAAAAGTTGCGAGTTCAAATCTTCATCCTTATATGTGGTAAGCAAAGAACTTGGTTCTGAGGTGGAATTTTAATTATGTAGCCTATTCTAAAGCATAAAGAGACTAATTGTAAGAGGTTAAAAGATATTTTTATAACTCAATGGTAAGGTGAAGTGTTTCTCCATTATTTTCGGTTGAAGGTTTGGGTACTCACCTAGTAAAAGGGAAGGAAAAAGACAGTGAAAACCAAAACGTCGCAAGAGCAAAAAGGTGGAAACTCTAATAGAACAATAATTCCCAGCTAATTCGTCCTACACCAGTAGAATATAAGAACTATACTCTCAAAGCCTAGCCTTTTCAAGATGTGTTTGAAAATGCCTTTTCAATAGAATACAGAGGGGAGAGGTGTTTTTGAGTTTTTGGCACAAAAACACTTTTCGCTATATATTTAAAATACCAGAAAATAAGAAATTTTAAATAGTAAAAAAAATACTAATCAAATTCTGGGGAAAAAATATTGCGAACCATACCATTAATCTGCATAAAAATAATAATAATTAAAAGAAAGAGAAAAGAAAACCAAACCATCCGAGTGACTCGTTGCATAGGCATCCACTACACTCCATGAATCTCCACTAGAAATTTGAAGGGTTACGTTAACTTTTACAAATCATATAAACAAACTACCAACTGAATGAGAGAACCATAAAATATTTGAAAATCTGAGCCAATAAGAAAGGAGGAATATAATTTTGAAACCAATTGTAACTTTCTAGATTTCAAAGGCATACCTGTTAAAGTTAAAGTAATGGATAGTAAATTCAAAGAAGGGAGGGATGAATCCTGCAAATTAATTGAAATTCGTGTATGTTAGCCTAAAGTCACAAATACTGAGGGAAAAAAAATGCAAGTGCCAAGTATGAACAACAAAGCTTGTAATAAACTGCACATAACCAACCACTGATAAGCTTGGCCAAAAAATATGGTAATGAATAAGAAAATGAAGGAATAATTTAACAAGGTTATTGATTGAAAACAAAAATAAAAAATCTAATTAGCCAATTTCCTTCTAATTTATAATTTGTCAACAAACTATTCCTCGGCACAATTCTATTGACTATAATTCATGGTGGAGAATATCAGTTCAATTCCAATCACAGGATGGAACTGAACTCATACAGTATAGTTTGGTTCGTTTTGCAAAAGAACCTTGGCCTTTGAAAATTAATCTTATAAAAAACTAGATAAACCTATGCTTCCTTTGTCTAGTTTTCTATTTTTTATAAACTATCTTGAAAGGTAAGCCAAATTGTTTAAAGAAAATTATGAAAACTGGGTTTTTAGTTCTCAAGATCAGTAGGGGTTTGAAACAACTTAAAAAGAAAATTGCTAATAAATAAATATATATTTTTAAAAAAATAACCAAAACAAAAAGGTCTTCAAATGGACTCTTCATGATATTTAAATCATCACTTGTTTCATTCCAAGAACTACTTGTCAGGAATATATTTACGGAAGAAACTACATTATCAAAAATGTTCCAAACATGCACTATCATTAGCAGGCTTTAGAAAGAATATCAATAGCATTTCACAAAACAACGTACACACTTAGCTTTATGTACCTTACGTTGAGGGCAGTTTTCCCTTGCTGCACGAAAATGAGAACTACCAAGCACTTCACAAGAATAAGCACCTTGACACATTTATACAAATCAGAGATTAGATAGAAGATGTAATGCGTCGGAATTCATTTCAGACAAGGAAAAAAAACAGAGGGAATATACTGATGGAAGAAGTAGAATACAAAAATAAATGTAAAATAAACTTGTTAATAGGTCCTGGAATTAAGAAAAAAAAAAGATGTTTAATAATTCCCCGCACCTTCAATTTTATATTTAATAGGTCATTCTTCTATTCAATATTTATTAAAATTCATGGACCTGAAAACTATCATGGTGTAGTCTAGGGGTAAGGGCCAATGTAAATAGCAAAGGGCCGAGAGGGAATGAGTTCAAACCATGGTGGCCACTTACCTATATCAAAGGGCTGAGAGGGAATGGGTTCAAACCATGGTGGCCACCTACCTATGATTTGGTATCTTGCAAGTTACCTAAACAACCAAATCTAGTTGAGGTGTGTGCAAACTAGCCCGACAAAAAAATCATGGACCTGATTCCAAACACTTATAAGTTAAGTTAGTGAGAACCATTTTGTTTTTAATTTTCAGATTTTGTGTTTGTTTGCTAATAATTTCTTTGGTATGTCTCAACTTTCTTAATAAGTTCTTTGAATTTTCAAACTTTTGCTTAGATTTTAAAAATGAAGTGCAAAACAAAGAAATGCATTGGTGCAAGTAGTAGTTACAAGCTTAAATTAAAAAAAAAAAAATTAAAAATTAAAAATTAAAAAAATTAAAATTATTATCAAACGAGACCTTAGAGAACTATTATACATTTTTTCGAATTCAGGTACCTGTTCGATATAATCATCAAAGCTTAGAGACCAAATTGAATTTAGCCTAAAATTTATATGAAAGAATTTATTGAGGAAATACATAATTTTGCCAAGAAACTTGCAGTAGCATAGCAAACTGCCTACAACTGACGGAGCATGAAAAGCATACTCAACCATACCTGGTAGCAGGGCAAATCTCATGCTGCAATACTAGACCTCTGGAAATTTGACACACTGTCTCAAGAATTTGGTTCCATGAGATAAGGATAAAACAAAATTTGGACAGCTCTGATGCCATGCATCAACATTAAATTGTGCATATCCCTCACGGGTTTACTGAGATGTACAAAGCATTGCCTGCATGGTTGCATTCTCATGATTCACAAATCACAGGTCAGACCTGTGCAAAATAAGTTAAACTAGCCCCGGCATTTCATCATTAAAACCAAAGTAAACATATTGATATAGCTACGAAGCTGTCATTTCAAACATCAAGTAATTCAATGATCAGATTCCATCATCAAAACCTAAAATCCCTTGGAATTGGAGAAAGACGTCATTGAAGTAAGATAAATAAAGCAATAAAGGAACATCTTTCTTACGGTATGTATTATCAGACAAACAACGGAACTCATCTCTTAAGAGCCACAAAAATCTCTTCATATTTCCTGCAAAAACTTAACAGTACTTCCAGTTATAAGGTTGCTTATTGCATATGCAATCTTCCAAACAAGCATGTGGTGCATCCAAGCACCAACACTAAGGTTATTGCCAGACACAACAAAGAAGCAGGCCATCAGAGCATCAACCTATCACATCTGAGGCAAATATACTAAGCATTATAAGTTAATAATGTCAAAGGGGAGCAGCAATCACCGTGCATTACTGGACAGCAGCTGTAGGCAATGAAGATTAATTGAATTTCCAGAAAGAAAAAGTTCTATACAGTCAACAGTAAAAAGTACTGCATCAGGTATGGAGAAAGCTTGCCATCTTACAAACCAGCGAGTAAATGAAATAGTTGGAGCAAATATAAGTAATAGATGAAAGAAAGATTCAGGGTACTTAGAGCACAAAAGAGAATTCTCAATGGACTTCTCTCATCTTTGACTTTCGAGGTAACAGGAATCTCAGTCCTACACCAACTAACCTTATGGGGACAGCTCATTCTTCCTGATTCCAGGTCCTGAGAAACTTCATCATTTGAAGCTTATTGCTCACTAAAAGGTCCAAACCTCAGACCTTGACATTTCTATATCAGACCCTGAAGCCCTCTGCCACAGGGCTGCCCCTTGGACGCTAAGAGAGTTCTATCATCTGGCAGAATACTGTTCGTATATTTTTCACACCTACACTCACTCAATAATCTAAGTCTAACAGAAAAATGCACCTTTCAGTTGTGAAGTTCCCCTAGAATTTCATTTCGTAGGGATCAAAGGTCTATGGGTGCTAAAATGGGAGTTTGTGAAATACTGTCGCTATTATCTAATCAAGAAGATATCGCTATGTATTTCGTTTTCACTGGCAGGTTATAAACGCAGATACAGATTTTGTACCTTCATTTGAAGTGTATAGCCCAGAATAAAGAATACAATCAAATTGTTTCCAGACGACTAAAACAATTAGAACTCGGTTGCTAATGCAGACTTTTAAGAGTTGAACTCGTTCATACTATGGACTAATACAAACGTTAGTACAAAATTTCCCGTATCAGTGAACAGTAATCCACAAAACCCTTGCTTACCTCACTCCTGGATTTATTCCAGTCTCGCCTGATTCTGAACTTAGAATTATAACCAAGCGAGACATGGCACCAAGATCTTTAATTCAAGTTTTTCTCCATCGATAACATTTTATAAAACTTTTGAGACTGCCAAATTTGGAGTTAAAAATTCAAATAAAGAAAAAGGAAAATTAGAGTGAGGGGTCGCTTGTCTTGTCAAATTTAAGTTAAGAGAAATCTTTTCATATCATTTACAGTGATGAGTGAACTATAAACAGGTAGCATGTTGTGTAACAATAAGACAAGGTAACAGGAGTTTACAACCAACACAAACTCTGATGCCAGAATGACATTGATCAAGAGCATCTCTAGCATCTTTAGAATTCAAGGATATAATTGTACAACTTACAGAACAGATCCTGTTCAAATAAGGTTGTGAGTATCTCTACATCCTTTAGAATCTGATTGGCAGATGCAAAAAGTTTGAACTAAAAGGGAAAATATAAGGAACAGGGTTACATAGGACACGGAAAATATCGTTTGGAACAAAAGTTAATTGAGATTTGTGATGAAGTAGAACAAGATAACATCAAGGCGAAGCTTTTTTTCTCCAGCACGGGCAACTTTCCCCAAAATAGTCAGCCAAATTTTATAAACCAGAAGCTCTCCATAGGGAGGTTTTTCCATTATTCTGCGATTTTCTGCAACCTAAACGATAACTTCAAGCACTTCAAGAGTACACATAAAACAAAAAAACAAAAAAAAAACCTGGCACTTATCAATTATCTTCAATTCTTCATCGTGTTAATACCTCCATTCTCTAAATATATGAAATAATTAAAACTTCCCTTCTACAATATTAGTTCTTCCCCCAATTCGTAATATTCCTCGTATTCCACCTCATGAATCAACCTAAAATTCTAATGTGCACGTGGGAGTGTTGATAAAAGTCGTTCCGATCCACACTCCAATGGATCAAAAACACAAAAGCGATGTAAATTTCTTACACCATATCTCGCCTTCTGTTACATACGATTACACTTATAGCAGGTTGCTCAATATGTGACTAGGACTAATAGACGTGGACTTAAACGATAAGAAACATTCTTACTACTACATTAAAAATAAAACAATTCACCGTTTCCAAAATAAACCTAAAACTGCAATTACAGAATTCACGATGTTTATATAAATTAACGATAAGATATTTGTTTAGCAGAGAAATGAAGAATGAAATGCATAAACATCCAACGCAAACACGTACCATAGGAGAGTGTAAAAGCGCGTTGAACTAGTTACAAGAGCGTCAGCCGGTTTAGCCTTTCTCCGGAAAAATCTTCTACCGCAACAGCTTCAATCTTGAGTTGAACATTTCTCCGGCGCGAACCAATCCACGACTGTGTTGAACTAGTTCATGTTCATCCAATCAATTCAAGTTTAACTGATCACTGGAATCACAATAGCAGATGGAATGGAAAGAAGAGAGTAACAGTACCGAAACGAACACATCAAATTTGGCGGCCTTTCGCTGCAGGAGAGAATGGATGCTTCGTTGCCCTTTTCCCGCGCAAAAGCGTTGGTTCGAAGACAATGGATCCGGATCGTCGTTTTAGACCATCGAGATCTTGACCGCTTATTCGTTTCCGCTTTCTGAAACGGAGTCCAACTACATTATTTGATCCTCCTGACCCGGATCCGAAATCCGCTTTTCTTCATCCCTCCACGGGAAAATGGGCAAAATAAGCCTTCAGGGTCTTTTAAATCTTTTAACTCAAAACACAAGTTCTCTAGCCACCGCTGACATATCAACTTTGACAAATGACCTCTCATGCCCTTCCTCTCTCCTTATTTCCTCTCTCTACCTT